CTAATGCCTACAGTTTTAGGACATTGTGTACAGTGCTAGATTTTAGAAATAGGAAAGTGGAGTTGGTCCTACATGAGCAGGTTTAAACTAAAAACCTTTTCAGCTCTTCCAATATTATGCTTAGCCTCACAATATTCTGCTTTTTGTGAAGACTGAATTCTTGGTTTCATGTGATTATTAGACAGTTTTAATATGGAAAAACTCCAACACTCAAGCTTTTTGAGTTACAGAGGGAAAAAAAATCTAAATTATCAACCAAAAAGGCTTACAACCTTGAGATAAGTATCTCCTTTTTTGCTCTGCTGCAAAAATGGGATGTACTCTGCCGCAGGCCATTCTGAGTGTGTGTGTGTGTGTGTGAGCAGGAAAACAAATGAATCTGGAAAGACTGTCAAGGGTGTCTGTCCAAAACTGTGAAGTGAAAACTGAAGATAAAATCTGCGCTATGGAAACAAGAACAAGGGAGCTGAGCAGCCTCAGAATAAATTGTGTATACTCCTCCAATATGTGGAGATCTTCTGACTGCTGTAGCCTAATCCTGCAATCCTGTTCCAAAATTGTTTTACTGGAGGTATGAAAATAAGGGACAAGAATAAACAATGAAGGTTTAATAACACTAAGAATTGGCTGGGAGCACCGTCAACGTGACTAAGATAACATAATCAAAAGACGGATGTCCCACCAATAGCCTTTTTTAATGACTTTTTTTGCCTGGCCTAACTCTCTTCTGGAAGAACAAAGACCTATGGAAAATGAGAAAAATCTGAAAGAGTAGGAGAGGGAAACAAATTGGTCTTATATTCTGCATCTTGTTTCTTGCTCCTTGCTATCCTAGGCACATCACTGGTATGTTGAGGTTTCAGTGGGCCTCTCAATTTAATCAGCTACCTTTTTGAGGGATTTTACTGAGCAGTGTTTTGCCCGTAAAGTTATACTTCCACAGCCGGGTCTTTCCCCTTCCATCTTATGGAGGAAGAAGCAACACATCCCATCTCAATTTCAAATTGTATTATTCTTAGGCAGAGGCCACATGATCTAGTATATGTTGACACCAGTGAGCTGCGTTCCTCATCTCCCACTACTAATACATTGGCAGCTTTACCTATCTATACTCCAATATAATGGGAATGGAAATCCTTTCAAAAAACTCAGATCCTGTATTTTGCCAAGTAAACATGGATATATCTGTTCTGGAAATTGCTTTAGGTGTGGGTGTCCTGGCATAATTCTACTTCCTTTTTCTCACTTATGATTTCTTTACCATAACCAAAGTTATGTAAAGCCAATAGAAGTCTTCTTTGTTGTCTAGTAAGCCTTGCCATCTACCTGATGGCTCATTATTTATTCTAGAAACCAATTGTTGTACACTAAATATTCCCTAAAATGACTACCACATTGTTCGTAAAGACATTCCTTTGGGGCTGTTCTCATAAGTTTGAGGGATATGAGCTAGAATTAAGCAGTGAAGAGTGACTATATTTTTTAGATGTGACTACACAGAGAGACCTCACAATTCCACACAAAAAGAAACAACTAAAACTTGACAGGCAGCTGGCAGTGGTGCTAGGCCATGATATCCTAATCCTAATGCAAACAAGCCCTGTTCTGGTCCTGGTGATTTATGAACTCTAGAAACATGTGGAAGTTTGGAATATTTGTAGGATTAAAATGTCTTCCATTAGTCTGAGTTCTGTCAGCATTTAATGGTTGATGTGGGCTCAGACCTCAGACTGAACACTTTGAGGCTATCTAGCAGGCTGAAAATCCATTATCCTTCTACAATGGGATGCTTATATACAAGCACCATATTTTTTTTACTTTTTAGTCTTTCCTTCCTATACATGTCATTCCAGAGATGGAATGTCTTATTGAGGATCCTGTTACTCTAAATAGAGTGTCTATGCTGTCATTTTATTTCTGATGAACAATGCCCTTCTGAGATAAATCTCCTGATTGTCCCCCACTGTGTTCTGTATTTTCACCAAAAAATCTCTAGGATGCTTCTTTGAGGAAGAATTTCTTCACTTTGAGGGTGACAGAGCACTGGGACCTGTTGCCCAGAGAGGTTGCGGATTCTCCTTCTCTGGAGATATTCAAGATCCACCTGCACAAGGTCCTGTTCAACCTGCTCTAGGTGACTCTGCTTTGGCAGGGGGGTTGGACTAGATAGATGACGCACAGAGGTCCCTTCCAACCCCTAACATTCTGTGATTCTGTGATATGCATGACTGGATTCCTTTAGAATAAAACAAAACCAGAAGAAGTATTCCATGAGTCAACCTACTTTACTCATGTTGCTGGTGGTCATTCATTTCAGAGGATCACAATAGACCTGGCTTGAAATACAGCTGCCTCAGATCAATATAGTGTTGATGCCAGGCTTCCAGCACCATTTCACTGTTCTGATTGTTCCTATCAGGTTGTATTTCCTGCTAGTATAGACGTAACTAGGGGCAACTACTATAACAAATAAAATACCGAAAGTGAGATAATTATAGAAATGTTGAGATTATCTTTGCAGTCACTCTTGAGTACGTGGCTTTTTGGCCACGGGAGTCAGGGCAGGGAGGACTGGAAACTACAAACCATGAATTCAGAAGGGAGAAGAAACCACAGCAAGTGCTGAAATTTTTGGTTCTTGTATCTTCTTTTCTACATCCTATTATTTGGACCACAAAACCACAGGAGGATTGTGTGCCAAGGAAAGCACAGAGTCAGCAACATCATTTGTAGATATTTCCTGGGGTAAGGGTTAAATAGAATTTTAAAAGGTTAAAGTTCAATACCAAGACCTACAAATTAGTGAGTTATAAATAGTTCCAAAACCCCTTTATTTTCTGTAACTGCAGCTCCTCCAAGATTTTCTTACAGAGGATGTCTATGAAATTCCTAGGAGAAATAAATTTTATTTCACTACTAGAATGTATTCACTGTGGTGCTAGAAGCCTGACTCATTTTAAAAATCCTGCCTCCTAAAAAAAACCCTCTCTGACTGGAACTCCCAGAAGAGCATTCTGAATCCCTGTAACCAAATTATAACAAACTCCTCCACCCTTTCTTGAACATTCTTGTGGACAGGAATTGCAACAGTTCTCTGCTGAGTCCTCACTCCCCTGCACGTGTGCTAATCTGTACATTGAAAATTCACTGGCAGAACATTCAGGCATGATGAAACATTCCCCAGTGTTATATTTCCAACAGACTTTTCCTCAAGATAGCACTGCAATACCAACTACTGCAGAAAGGAAACAGCAATCTGCATTTCCATTAAGTGGGCAAGATACTGTTATCAATTTAAGCCATAAATCCAGTTGAGTGTCAGAGGTTTAAATCAAATTCCTTACAAAAATCTTCCCAGGTTATAGGTGATAAGTAACACAAATCCTGCAGACTGTTTCTTCATACTCAATAATGCTACATTTCTCCCAGAGACTACTTGAAAATTAATCCCTAAACTTCCTAAGTCAAAATCAAGTTGACCAGCATGTTGGGGAATATGAACTTCTTTGCCTTCTCTTCCATTCCTTGTCTGACTCTGGCTGGAGTATTTCTGCCATTTTCTTATTCCATATGTAAAATATTCACACACACCTCTGTCTAGGTCTTGTCTTTGATCCTGTTTAAGAAATGAATTCCCGCAAGAGCAGTAGGACTCCCACAGGGCATTCTCGCTTCTTAACCTACATACTAAGAAAAAATTTCTCTCTAGAAATGCCCCACTGGTTCTGTAATCAATTGTCCATCCAGTAGAAGTCTGAAAGTCAGCTCTGGAAATATTGTGTTTGTTCTTAAGAGATGCCTGGGGGAAAAAAATATCCCATATCTGAACAAATGGTGGTAGGAGGGTAGTTTGGTTTGTCAAGTGCTGTAAACAAACTGACCCACTGTCCTTCAGTAAGTTTTGTTTCAATGCCATGTCAAGAAATCACTTTCCAGCTGAGTAGCTTAACAGTTTACTGCTGTGACTGCTTTTACCTCCCTGAATAACAAATCTCGAAATATGGAGATTAAATATCAGAAAACCAATCTTACACTATCTATCATAAATACTCCAGGTTTGTTTTTCTTTGAACTGTCTTGAATTTAAAATACAGCTTACACAACAGGCTTCCGAATTATTTGCTACAATGTTTTGCTGCCAAGATTTTTCTTCTATAATCATATTACTTAAAGTATTTATGAAGGCTGAGTTTGTTCCTCCTTTATGCAAAGTGTCAGACTGATGACAGCTTTCAAATTACTTTTCAGCATGAACATTTAAAATAAAGATATAGAGCTAATTGGAAAAGTTAATCTCATAAGGCCACTTGAATGGCAAGAGACTATACTATTTGCATCGAGTTTGTTTCAAACTCCACAAACTTCCCACTTAAACTCCTCTTAGAAAGTTACTTGTAAAAAAAATGAAGACATAGACTAGCCAAAGTTCTATGTACTCACATCCTTAACGATCTAATTCATTCAGAATTTACTCAGCAACAAAGAGGACTGTCATGGCAACTAAAGAAACAAGAGGTTTCATACAATTCAAACATGTATAAATAATGCTATTAGCATTTGCTATGCATAAGCAAAAAAGCTACTCTTCATTTTTCCTCCTGTATTTCACAAGACTTTTCTGGGTAGAACTATCTATCTGTCCTCTACATTTCTTTTAAATAAGTACACACTAAAATTTTATCACATCGCATGTGTTCTTGTTGCTTATAAATACGGAAAAGATCTATATTGACCATTGTTGAGCTGGTTACAGATGTATCTAGATTAAAAACCACAAATAAGTTTGATATTCTAAAAGAAACACTCATCATAAACGTGTTCTCTACAGCTAGCACTGAAATAGATCTATGCAGGATACTATTCAAAGGTCAAGTCCCAGAATCAGTGTCATGTAGTGCTTGTCAACTGAAGAAATAACGGCACCTGAGCTGTGATTCCTCCAAAAGTACTATTATAATTCTTTAAAAATTTGTATTCAAAAATTAAAACCTTTTTTCTAGATACAGTACCAGTAAAAGAACTCAAGCCTTCAAAAATGGAAAAATCAACTGAACCAGCTAAGACAACTCAACAGGAACAGCATCAGCTCAGTGATGGGAATGAAGATGCTGAGTGAGTAAACTCAATTAAAAAAATTGAGTTTTTTTTCCTGACTTCCTGACTTAATATTTCTGTGTGGCACATTTCAGTTCTTTAAAAGTCATTCCTGTCCTGTAAGGTCCTGAAGAGCTTTATTTCAATTCTAATGATATCATATATATGAGGTATTTATTTAGTATGTGCTATTTGATAGTTTGTTGTGTACATCATCCTAAATTACAGGAATGAGGAAAAGGATTTGCTCAACTATACTTACATACTAATTCTAACAATGCTGCTGCTCAGCTATTATTTGTCTACCTTAGCAAAGGATTAAGTCCCAGTATGTTGCTCTGAATAGCTGAAATGTTTGTCACATCATTCTGACTTAAAAGCTTTTTACCCTGACCATATTTTTGCTCAGTTATATTATTAAATCAACATTATTGTCTGCAGCCAGAGGATTTGGACTGTCTCTTCCTGAGAAGAGATAAACAAATGAAACATTAATGGTGCTTCAGGAGAAAATGTAGGGTCATTAAAACTTTGGAAAATTCTTAGGTGACTGTTTGTTTTCCTAAAACAGAAACAAATATGAAATCTAGAAAACAATAATCTTGGAATAGTCTACGTTCATTACAGAAGCGTAGATTCATAGAACAGCTCAGGTTGGAAGGTTGCTTCAGAAGGAGTCACGTACAAACTCCTGCTAAGAGCAGGACAAATTTGGAGGTTAGGCCCAATTCTGAAGTTAAATCAGATTGCCCAGAACCTTGTTCTCTGTAATTGTGAATGTAGATCTCCAAGGATGGAGTTTCTACAGTTTCTCTGGTCCACTGTTTGACCATCCTTATTATGACAATTATTATTTTACATATAATTAAAGCTTCCCTTGCACTAACTTGTTTCTGTTGCCTCTCATCCTTTTGCTGTGCACCTCCAAGAACAGTCTGGATCCATGTTTTTGGTTAACGACCTGCTGGGCAGTGGAACACTGTAATTACCATCTTCTCAACTCATTTCACCTCCAGTCTGAACAAACCCAACTGGCTCAGCACCTGCTCATACATCCTGTGCTCTATTCCCCAGCCATCTTAATGGCCCTCTGCTGGTGTTGCACCATGTGGTCAGTGCTGTTCATGTACAGAGGAGACCGCATCTGGAATCAGATGCAACTCGTAAATGTCACAGAGAAGGAAATAACCACTCTCCCTCAGTCAGCTGGCTACGCTTTTTCTAAAGTGTAGCATGTAGTTACCCTTCATTGCTGCAAGAACGCACTGTGGATTCATATTAAATTTATTGTCCACCAGGGCCCCCAGATTCTTTCATGCAAAGCTGCTTTCTACTCAGTCAGCTCCAGGTCTTTGCTCTTGCATGGGGTTATTCCATTCCAGCTACGGAAACTTGCATTTGTCTTTGTTCAGCTTCATGAAGCTCCTGCCAGTCTGTGCCTCAGCCTGCTAAGGTCCCTTTGAGTGGAAAAGTCTGGATACATTCAGTCCAGAACAGAGTAGAAACTCCTCCTGCTTGCGTTTGCCTTCTGTTATTTTGATTATCCTCATGACACAAAGCCAAAGTCTTTCCCTGACATGGAGTTATCTAATTTATAGAGAAGATTAGCTATTTCCTCTCCTTCACCAAGACAATATTTGTAGTGCAGCGACAAGGAATAATCGAGCAAAATACTGATGCTTATGTCCCTATAAAGTAATACGTGCAATTGAGAACTCTGACTAGAATGACTGGAAATGTTATAGACAACTTGGTAATTTGGATGTGACTCTGCAGGTCAGCAATGAAAACCTGGACAAAGCATCTCTTTTTTTGTCATTGTAGGATATGTTGTTAGATGCTTACAGTTCCACTGGTAAATACTGTAACCATGGTTAACAAAATTACAATATGCTTATGAAACAAAGGGGTATGTTGCTTATTAAGAGAAGACAAAATCTGACTGTGAAAAGGATATTAAAAATGTTTATGCTAAACATTCTTTTCTCAGAGCTGTTCTGACTCATTATCATGCGTGCATCCAGATATATCTAGTCAGTCTAATTTGAGCAACAGTTTCTAAAAATACAGTAAATCCTTGGTAAATTCTACTGTCAAAACAGTTACTCGTTAAATTCTGCAGTAGAGCTTGGAAGGTACGGTGCTGGTGTCATCACACTGGTATGAAACCAAATTAAACAGATCTATTATACGGCTTTCAGAGCTGGAGGGAGAATAATTTTTAAAATGTGCCTTTGAGAGAAAATAATTCGTTGCCCTGAAAGATTCACAGGAGTCTATTCAGACACAGTTCTTGATTAAGGTCACTACCTTACCAAGTCTATGTGTTCAAGTTTACTCACTAGAATATTTTTGAGGAAAACAGCTGCCTTTATCACATGACAAAAGCTACATAAATGTGTATGCATATGGAGAATTTGAGTCAAATAGATACATGTATTCTACAAAAACAGCTATAAATGAAACATGTTCAAATCACTCTCTAGCACTGACGCCTAGTACAGCAATACAAAATGCCTCCTGAAGCAGTGTCAGTTGTGAATTACGATTGCTCAGTGCTAATTTCTGGGTATTTCCATACCTGGGAATTATTTGGAAAAGTACCAGTTTGACTAGTCAAAACCGGATCAAGGACTGTTTGTACAACTCAACAGGATAGTCAACTGAGAGTCGCATTGTCCAGGATTTATTCCTGTCACTGTTTAATCCACATTAGGATAATGTCTAAGTGGAGATTAGTAACAAGTGGTGTCCCTCAGGGGTCTGTACTGGGAGCAATATGTTGTGGTTTAACCCCAGCCATCAACTAAGCATCACTTTGCTGCTTGCTCACCCGTCCCTCCCCATAGTGGGATGGGGAGGAGAATGGGAAAAAAGTAAAACTCATGGGTTGAGATAAAGACAATTTAATAGGACAGCAAAGGAAGAGATAATAATAATAATGTTAATAATAATAATGTTAATAATAATAATGTTAATAATAATAATAATAATAATAATAGTAATGTAAAACAAATTATGCACAATGCAATAGCTCACCACCCTCTGAGCGACACTTAGCCTGTCTCTGAGCAGTGATCACTGCCTCCTGACCAACTCCCTCAGGTTATATACTAAGCATGACATCATACGGTATGGAGCATCTCCTTTGGCCAGTTTGGGTCAGCTATCACCTCCCAGCTTCCTGTGCACCTATCAGCATGAGGAGCTGAAAAGTCCTTGGCTGCTTAGCAACTACTGAAAACATCTGTATGTTGTCAACATTATTTTCATTCTAAATCCAAAACACAGCACTACACCAGCTACCAGGAAGAAAATTAAATCTCTCCCAGCCAAAACCAGGACAAAATACTATTTAATATCTTTATTAATAACATAGACAGTAGGATTGAGTGCCCCCTCAGCAATTTTGCAGACAACATAAAGTTGAGTGGTGCAGTTGATTCACCAGTGGGACCTTGACAGGCCTGGGGACTGGGTCCATATGAACCTCATGAAGTTCAACAAGGCCAAGCGCAAAGTCCTGCACCAGGGTCAGGGCAATCACCAGTATCAGTACAGGCTGGGTGATGAATGGATTGAGAGAAGCCCTGCAGAGAAGGACTTGGGTATACTGGTAGACGAAAAATAAGCTATGAGCTGGCAACGTGCTCTTGTAGTCCAAAAGGCCCAGTCGTATCCTCGGCTGCATAAAAAGAAATGTGTCCAGCAGGTCGAGGGAGGGGATTCTGCCCCTCTACTCTGCTCTCATGAGACCCCACCTGGAGTACTGCATCCAGCTCTGGGGTCCTCAGTACAATAAAGCCATGGACCTGTTACAGCAGGTCCAGAGAAGGACCACAGAAATGGTCACAGGGCTGGAATATTTCTCCTAAGAAGAAAAGCTAAAAGAGCTGGGAATGTTCAGCCTGGAGAAGAGAAGGCTCTGGGGAGAGCTTATTGTGGCCTTTCAATATACAACGTGTCTTATAAGATGGACAGAGATATTTTTCCATCACCTGTAGTAGTAGGAGTACAAGTACAAGGGGTAATGCTTTTAAAATAAAAGTGTGTATATTTAGGAACAACTTTTTTTATGAAGAGGGTGGTGAGACACTGGTTGCCAAGAGAAGCTGTGGATGCCCCATCATCAGAAGCATTCAAGGACAGGTTGGACGAGGCTTTGAGTAACGAGATCTAGTGGAAGATGTCCCTGCCTATGGCAGAGGGGTTGGACTAGATAATCTTTAAAGGTCCCTTCTGAACCTAATCATTCTATGATTCTATGATACTGTTATGAAAAAAGCCATAATTTGGTAGATTGAATGGAATCAAGGTTGGTGAAATTTTTGGTAGAATTCTTAAATGGAATTTCAGATTTTGTCCATCTGTATTTCAGGCAGCAGCAAGTGTCAGCTGCTCCCTGAGAGAAGGGGAGATGGGAGCCAAGGGTAACAGCAGCACAAGCAGTGTCCTTACCAACAAGGTGCAGTCCCACAGAGTCTGAATACACCAAGCAGAGCAGGATCTTAGTAACAGGGTCCATCAACAAGGCAGGTGATGAGCCACATTTAGGGTTCACTCAGGGAGTCCAGTCAGGAGCAAATAAGGCACAGCCAGAGACAGGACTGGAGACAAGGCTAAAATATGGCTCAAAAGTCCTTCCAGGAGACAGGACCAGAGACAGAACCGGACCTAGACACATCTAGGCATAGCTTAGGCAGTGACTAAAGCCTGACCTTAAGTGGACATCTTAGGCCCATGGGCAGAGGGTGTAGGTGGAAGTCCCATTGGAGGCTGCTCATGGTCATTAAGGCCTGTCAGTGTACTCAGGGTCCTGGTACTATGTTTTGACTTAGGCAGACTATTTTCCTACACTAATCAACCTCCAAGAGTCAAAGTTGAATAAAAAGTCACTTGATCTGCACAGCAAGAAATCATCAGTATGCCCACAGACTGTGAGTAAGATACGTAATAAGGTAAGGCTTGTGGGTCCAAAGAAGGGCCACAAAAATGGTCAGAGGGGTGGGACACCTCTC